ACAATATGGAATCACGTAGACCAGACGGCCCTCCGCCTTCCTTCTGATGCTGCTGCTGCTGCTGCTGCTGGTGCTCCTCCTCCTCCTCCTTGTCCTCCTCCTCCTCCTCCTCCTCCTTGTAATCCTCGTCCTTCCCCTTCCTCCACCAATTCTTTTCACTATAAGTAAGTAACACCGCCCTGTAGCACCGCGAGGTCGATAGAAAAGGCGGGCCGGGCGTTTCGCCTGAGACTTCCTCGCCACTTCTGACCCTGAAGCTTACAAGCTGACACGCTGCGTGGTGGTGACACCCTCCTCCTCCTCCTCCTCCTCCTCCTCCTATCCCTCCTCCTCCTCCTCCTCCTCCTCCTCCTCCTCCTCCCTTCGCAGAACACGGTGCACCAGACCTGACTCGCTCACCGCGGTTTCACAAATATACGGCGGGTGGTTATCAAAATGTGGCTCTCGCCTTAGCGCCGCGCGCACTCGTTGAGAAGAGTGGCAAACATTTCAAGGGTTGAAGGCGCGTCGTTTTCAAAATGTGACTCTCGCCTTAGCGCCCCGCGTTTCCGTCGTAAAGGTTTGCAAGCGTTTCACCGTTCGTGGTTAGCGTGCCGTGCTTTTTGTTTTGGACTGATTCATGGTTATCACGGCGTAACAGTTACGTTGATTCGCGGTGTTGAAAGCACAGGAACGGCATTCTCGCACGATTCAGGATCGCAAAGATCTCACGATCAGGTTGATTTGTGGCGATGAAGTCCTGAGAACGGTGTTTTGGCACGCTTCAGGATTTTCACACGGTTGTCACCCAACGGGCCACTTCCTTCAGTGGCTTTGTAGGGGCCTGTGGGGAGGGAGCTTGGAGGGAGGATGTATTCCAACATCGTTGATGGAGCATTGGGTTTACACTGTTCCTCTCCTCCTCCTCCTCCTCCTCCTCCTCCCTCTTCCCTGCCCCTTCTTCTCCTGCCGCGCTGCCCGCCGAGACGAACGACCTACTGTGATGGGGTGGTTGCCGTCTCCTCCTTCTCCTCCTCCTCCTCCTCCTCCGCCCGTCCTCTTCCATCCCTTTTCCTGATGAACAACCCCCCTCCGTCGCAACACCGGACGCGCCCATAGGCCGGCAAAGGTGTTTCGCATGAGACCTCGTACGACTTGCGGTCATGAGGCAACACAGAAGACTCTAGCAAACTACGCGGATGGAGAGCCTGTCGTCTGCAGAACGTGGTCCTGCCTCACCCTTTTCGGGTTCCACGCCCGCCTCCTCCTGAGCGCTGTAAGGTAAAGCTGGCGACTGCAGGCAAGGGACGTGCAGTCCCCCGAGGTGGAAACCTGCAGTCGGCCTCGATCGGACAGGACACGCGAGAGGACACGAGACCCTCCCGAGGGCCACGTCGCCACAGGAGTGCAAGACGGCACGTGCCGCGAGGCACAGGACACGAGGGCACCCTGGAGCTGGCAGGGTCGCCCCACTGATCCGGGCCGACCGCCCAGACCCCCGACGGCGTGATTTTTGTCACGGCGTCGACCCCCGGAGGTCTGGACCCCTTTCCCCGGGACCGGTTTTTCGTCCCGAGTCGTTTTCTGACGGTCCCGAGGCCCGGGGAGGGCCCCCGGAGGCCGAACACAGCGAACAGCCTCGCGTCGTGACGTTTTCACGACGCGAGGAGGTCTGGGTGTAGCCAGACGCGCCTGACCCGCCCCGCGCCCTTGGCACGAGCGGGCCCTCGCCCTCTCCGAGGGCGAGGGCCGCGCGCACGCGCTGCAGGACCTGGCCGTCGCTCGACCACGCCCACTCCCTGTGCTCTTCTCGGCTTCGTGCGTGTTTTTTTTCGCCAGGAGGATCCAGGATGATCCTGAACAATCCCCGCCGAGCAAAAGTGCACACCTCCGAGCGATACCAAGGTGTCCACTCCGACACTTTTTCGGTCTGCGGGGCGAGAGCGAACCTCTTCCGATGAAAGCTAAGCGGGCTACGCACTGCTCTACTTGGGGAGACAGGGCACAGGCGGGCGGGGCCTCAGGCGGCAAGTCCACTCCGACATCTCCACAGCGAGACTTGCACAGGGAGCGGAAGCCCCTGCACGCGCAGTCCCACCCAGTCTTGCTGGCACGGGTCTGGGCCGAGGCGCACCTCGCAGCAAGGCCGCGAAACCTGCCTCCACTGCTGTAGCAACTGCACTCCGTGAACGTTAAGAAGAACTGAGCCGTCCGAACAAGGAAGAGCGATGGTACGATGTTCGAGCTCGTCCTGACGATCAGCGTGTACAACATAATCCCTGGAACAAGCGCCAGCGGGGGGCTGGGCAGAGACACGGCTGCCACGTAGGCAGTGTGCACGGCGCCAGACATCACCTCGGCGCTGCCACTCGTGACCAACAGAAGCAGCTGCCGCGGCAGGCTAAAAAGTCTCCCCCTCGGCCTCGGACAGGCCACAGGCCAGAGGTGCAAAACGTGAGCCGCCACGCGCAGAGTGTCGCGTGCAAGCTGGACAAGCCCATGCGCCTCCTCAAAACCGTTA